CCAGGCCAGTACAGTTGTTGAACCAATCCACAGGACAGTTTTCTGGATAGGCAAGGTTAATTCTTTACACAGGACATCGGCTAGCTGAGCTCCGGTAAGGGCTGCTGATAATTCCTAACGCAGCATTGATACTTTTCGTTTGGGAGCAACTCGTGAGCGAGCAGCAAGGAAACAGACAACAATAGATCTGTCACCATTCACTGTGCGAATAGAAGCTACTGCTCCATAAATGCATTCTGACGAATCGCAGAATACATGAATTTGTCTGGTAGTTGTCTCTTAAGTGTCTCTGTTTGGTGTGTAGCTCTTTGAAGTGAAGAGATGTAAGGTCAATGAGTTCACTTTCCCATTCTCTCCATTTCTCAATGATGGGACCTTCTTCAATCGGTGCGTCCTAATCTCTTCGTGTTTTATAGAGATATTGGACGAATATTTTGGCACGTGCAAGGTATGGGTATAGAAACCCTATTGGGTCATACTGGCTGGCGAGGATTCTGTACACGACATTCATTGTCAGCTGATCGTAATCAATTGGACGGCACTTGTACCTGAGTTCATCAGTGTCACCCTTGCCGAAGTTTAGCCCTAGTTCAGATCTGGCATCGGGTGGAAGATCTTCTATCACAGATGGAACGTTATTTGTCCATTGTCGAATGTTAAACCCACCTTGAGCAAGTACTTGTCTCAATTCTGTCACAAGCTCTTTGCCTCTTGATGGTGTGTCAACACTGTCCAAGCAGTTGTCCACATAGAATGCTGTTGTGACTGACAGAAATACATCGTCATTTTGTCCTTTCCCATCAACAACATGTTTCTAGAGAGTGGACGTTGCACAGCATGGACTACATGTAGTTCCGAAGGGTAGCACTTGCCATTCATAGGTATCTGGTTGTCTGTTTCTGTCCATATAGCGACCCATGAATCAAAGGAGTGGTTTGTCAGAAGGCAAAAGTCTATGGGTGATACCTGTAAATCTACAGACCTTCCATTGCACCATAATGGGTCACGACGGACAGCGGTAAGTAGTATACTTTTGGGTTTACCAGGACGGTTTAACAGCCTGACAGCAGGGGTTAGGATCAGAGTCCTCATTGATCCATCATCAAGCAAAGCATAAGTTTCCATGATGTGTTCAGGGCCATGAAGCAGTGCCTTAACAACCTTGAGTAGTACACTTGGTGGTCTGGCTGGTTGATCTGTTTCAGCATTATCGGTTCTCACCGAACATACTTTGTCTGCCCCATGTCTGTAATTGCTTCACGAAGTACTGTCTAGTGTTATTCATTGCAAATATGGCAAGGCTTCTTAAGGCTACAGCGTTTAGGCTTGTGAAGCCGTCTGCACTTGTAACACCTTGGACCTGACTTAATCCATTCAATGACCTGGTTTGTATTCAATTGCTGTGAATTTTGGACATCCATGTAAGTAATGTTCATTATTGTTGCAATGTGGACAAAACTGGTATTTCTGAATAACATCACCTTTCCCTGGTTGAGCATTGACAGTTACTTGGGATTGTCTCTTAGACTGATACTGTTTGGTTTCAGTAGTGAACACTGCTGTAGGCGAATTCTTCTTTGCAGCTTGTGTAGGTTTGTCTTTCCTGTCAGGTTTAGAAAAGTCACTCATGTAAGTTGCTGCAGCTTGACTGGCAATATGTTTAGCTCTTGCTTTGGTTTGTCACCATTTGGCTAGGTCAATGAGGGTATAGGCCTGGTCAGCATCAATGGTTAGGATACCCTTGTTAATACAATGCTCAAAAAAGTTATCTTGGAGGCTTGGTGGCAACTTACCCAGGAGACGGTCAACATGATAACCACATTTCAGCTCGTAGCCATTCTGGCCCTCCAACGATTGTAGCATTCCTACTAGGGAATGAACAGATAGTGAAAAACTGTCAAAGGCTTCATTGTCATTGAACTTTACGGGAGGCAAACTCATGATGTATCAGATTTCACCCAAGACTAATTGCCTTGGCTGTCCATATTTTTCCTTAAGAGCTTGAACAGCCATCGTGTATGGCCTAGGATGATGCATATATGATTTTGCCAACTTGTTTTATCTTACCACCAAGTCGGTCAAGCAGTACTTGATACTTGTAGTGTTCTGTCAGATGCGGGTGAACATTCACAAGATTGTCAAGAGCCATCTTGAGGAGGGCAAAATCGTTCTCTTTACCACTTGCAAATGTAGGCAAGGCTGGTTATGGTATACCATAGGAGGAGGAAATGAGGAGGTCAGTTAAGTTCTGACTTGGTAATGTGGCATGGCTTGATTCCGATTGAACCGGGCAAATTAGGATACAACACACTGGTTGTTCAGGCTGTGGTAGGCAATATATCAATTCTGAATCAGATGGTTTCTTTGGCCCACTTTGGGGTTGAAAGGGAGGCGCATCTGCAGATAGGGTAGTCACAAAGGGTGCTGACCATGTCACTATGGTGTATGGATCATGCTTCACTTGCTTTGTGTCCCTTGTAGCACTACTAGGGGTAACTGGCACAGTAGTAGTCGGGTTTTACACACTAGAGGGAATGGTCACTCCTATGTGTCTACTACTCGTGGTAACTGGCACACGAGTAGGATTTGTCACCACTATGTTAGGAGAGGAATATATAAAGTAGAGCTATAGTCTGGAAGGTAATTTAAGGCACCAACGTTTACTACAATATCTGAAAAAACTATCGAATCTACTCCAGTCAAAGTTGGTATGAGATTATCTATACTAGCCACATAAAGAAACTGTGCACGGAGAAAATATATTCTGGATTGAAATACAATAGCAAGAACAAAATGATGCAGACGCTATAGCAGCTGAATGATCTGACCATAAGAAAATATCAACGGGACCTGAACAACATCTGTTACGATGACGTCAGAAGATCAAAATGGAGTAGGGGGTCAAACGACAAAGTCACAAAGTCAATAACGGGTATGACCACCCTGTGCGTGAATCACAGCAGTGCATCGGCGACGCATGGAGTCCACTAAATGGGTATGGAAGGCCTGGGGATAGCCTGCCCTATCCTCCTCAAATCCTGTGCCAAGTCACGGACATTATCTGCAGGATGTGGAAGATGACGCAGACGGCGCTCCATTTCATCCCACACATGCTCTATTGGGGAGAGATCTGGAGAATTTGCAGGCCATGGCAGTAACATGACATTGTTATGGTGAAGGAAATCCATTGCGACCCCAGCCGTGTGAGGACGAGCGTTGTCCTTTTGAAATATCAATCCACGGGCCATGACGTTGCAGGAAAGGAATGACCACAGGCCTCAGAATCTGATCTCTGTAGCCAACCGGTGAGATTGCCCTGAACAACTACCAAAGGGGTTCCGTGCCGTGCTGTTAACCCACCCTAAATCATCACAGAGCTACCTCCAAAACGATTCCTCCCCACAATACAGTTGCGTGCATAACGTTCTCCCAAACGCCGGTCGACACGTTGGCGCCCGTCACTGTGGGAAATGTTGAACCTCGATTCATCTGTAAAGACAACATTTCTCCACCATATTCGAGGTTGGCGAACATGATTCCGACACCATTTTAGACGATTGACGCGATGACGGTGTGTCAGGATGGGACATATGGCAGGGCGTCATGATCGAATCTAGTACTGACGTAAAACGATTCCTGACAGTGTTGGGATGGATACGGCTCAGTCCAGGAATTGTCTGGGACGTCGTTACTGCCGTTTGGAACCTGTGTCGGAGATGTGTAACTCGAATCCATCTGTCCTGTCTTGGCATCGTTACTCGGGGACGTCCTGAACGTGGGTGGTCGGCAACGTCATTTGTGTTCTGATAACGCCTCACCAATGCCGATATCGTGTTATGATGGCATTGGAAATATGTTGCCACCTGTTGTTGCCTCATTCCCGCTCGGATCATTCCAATGGCTTCATGACGCTGTGCAGCTGTCAATCTTGGCATGATTTGCCTGTGATATGCTTGTGTCTGCACCTGATAAGTTTTGAAGTTTTGAATGACCACAGATCATGCTTTCCAAAGTGAAAGCGAATTTTGAGTTGCACATGCTGTGTACAGCTGCACAGGATGCACAGGATGCACGTGCAGTAACACATTGCACGACCATAGGCCCCCATCAATGACGTCATATCGCATTGCACGTGCATGAACGTTTGAATGTCTACAATAATTGCTGTTTCAAACCTATATTTCATATATGGACGGTGTGCCCTTATATCTATATTTTCTCCGTGCACGGCTTCTTTATGTGGCTAGTATATAACTGGATATAAAGACAATCGGTGCATGAATAACAAATCTGTCTTTTTAGCTATCACTTAATTTCATCAACAACCATATGACACAGTTCAACCAATCAACTCAACTCAAAAGGGTGCACAGGAATCACGCACGTAGAGACGCCAAACGCTAACACCGTATTTGTGCGTGCGTGAACCCCGTGCACCCTTTCGAGCTGAGTTGATTGGTTCAACTGTGTCATATGGCCCTGTGACGCAGGGGTAGCATTATGCAGATGGCTGTTTCAATGAATGCTCGTTCCACCCGTGACGAACAGGTCTGGTTGTTGATGAAATATAGTGATAGCTCAATAGACAGATTTTTTCTTCATGCACCGATTGTCTTTAAATGTTATATCCAGTTATGTATGACTGTTTAATAATCCAATATTGTAGTAAACGTCGGTACTTTAAATTACCTTCCAGACTTATAGTTGGCGTTGTCTGATATATTTGGACCAGTAGTATCAAATGGCTCATCATCTGCTTTGTTTACTAACTCTGCCTCCTCCAATTGCTGCCTTGCCTTCCGTAATCTCCTTTCTAACTGTTTGTTATGGAATTCTCTCTCCCTGGCAGCCGTTCACCCTAACTCCTGTGCTTCAATGACCTCTTGATCTGCGGCTATCTGCAGCACGAGCGTCCTCATCTATCTAACGTCGGCCCTCTTATCTTCCGCCAAGTGACGCTGTAACTCCTCATATTCCGTCTGCTTCCTTTTTCTGTCAAGCTCCGCCGTTTGTGGATCGCTAAGGGCCGGGAGAATCGTGCTTTGTGAGCCCTGAGAGGATACGCTTTCTAGAGTCCCTGTTCTAGATTTTGGGTGTGTCAAACCTTGATGGGATCTGCCAGGTAACTTGATCATTGATCATTGAAGCATTTTCCCTCTCTTTATGCTGGTAGGAAGAGATTGGCCTTTCAGTTTACCTTTGGTCCCCGTTTGCAATTTCCCAGGCATACTCTAGGGCTTACTATGGTCACTGCCCTCTGGTAACAAACAACTGTCCACTACATAGTCAGATAAATAACCTGGGGGATGTCAAACTCGACGAGATCGACGATGGGCAGTTTCACTTTCAACTTGAATGTCACTTTCCACCACCTCTATCTCCTTAGGGTCAGCAGTTGCCATGCTAATGCATTGGATATGAATAGTTAGTAGCCACTACAAGCACTATACTTCGTACCTACATGGTCATCACACTATGTTCATGCTAATCCGCCTCGCGGGAGTGAGTGAGTAAGTGAGTTGGGTTTTACGCCGCTTTTAACAGTATTCCAGTTATATCGCGGCGTGTCAGCTTAATGTGGGAGGAAAGCCCGAAGTGGTGCAGGTCTCAGACGTTTATCACTTCGCTGAAACCCACGAGCACGGGTATGGTGCTGACAAACCTAGAAACATAATCGGGGCGATCCGGGATTCGAACCCACAATCATAGGTTTCTGGCGTGCCCAAGGGACGCAACTCTGCACAGCGAATCGCCTCGCGGGACCATGAAAAGAAGTAAAATTAGGCCATAAGAGTAGTTCAATTTTAATTGGCATGAACAGGCAATAAACAAGGTAAACATGGTGAATAATGAAGGTATAATATGATGGAAGGCACTTATGGTGAAGTGGTCAGGTTATCGGCAATGTGCAAAGTTCAGGAAAACGTTCACGAGAAGCTCTGGAAGTCAACAAGTTAAACCTTGGGCTCACATGATGGCTGCCAAACTCTCTAGTTCTAAAAGGGGCGGTGATTAAGCGTTTGCTCGTCACGCCGAAGACCCGGGTTCGAATCCCGACATGGGTACAATGTGTGAAGCCCATTTCTGGTGTCCCCCGCCGTGATATTGCTGGAATATTGCTAAAAGCGGCGTAAATCCCAAACTCACTCACTCACTCTAGTTCTTAAACATGGAATTGGGAGCGGAAAGGGATCCTAATGAATTATGCAAAAATTTGAAATTGTCATGCCAGAACTGAAATATGAATAGGAAATATTTTAATGCTTTCTGACACGACCACCCCCAAATTTAGAAAATAAATTTGTTTCACAGACAGAAAGTCTTAATTCAAGTCACTAGTTCAGTTCATGAACTTAAGGCTTTCTGACAATTATTATGATCAAAACCCTGCTATGTGCATGCCTGTACAGAGTATCAAAGAGAGAGACAGTTCTTGCTTCTGCAATCTTGCAAAATGAACAGACAGACATTTTTGCATCTTTCACAGTTATCAAGGAATATAATTTTAGCTCAGACTCGTTCTTATTTTGCCCATCTTTCTCTCTTAGGAAAGGGAGTGGAAACTTTCTGAACTGTGTTCCAAGAGAACAGAAAAAACAGCTCACTTAAACGCAATCAAAATGAGCTTATGGAGATCAGATTGACCTGTGAGAGCAGAATGTTTGCAGAATAGATTCACTAACATATTTGTAATCTGTTTAACTCATTTCTCAATTTTCATGTGTTGTCACATGTGAACACTTCACTTGTTGCCGATGTGAACACAGTAATCATTGATGTAAGGTTTGCTTGTTAACTAGGCACAAGAATTCGACACATCCAGGTGGACTCCATATTTCTTGCATCATAAACACAGTTTCAGCTTCATGAATACAAGAGTTCGACACATCCAGGTCGACTTCATATTTCTTGAAATCATATACACAGTTGCAGCTTCATGAATACATGATAAGCATACCATTCATTTTCTTTTGCAGAAACCAGGCAGTAGGAATGGGTATGTATTCATTACACTTGTTCTTGCTTATGCTCAAAATAGCTGATGTCCTTTGTCTAGTAAGTAAGAAATCGTATCTTATTTTCAATCATTCACAGCATAAACTAGTTCTGATAAAAAGAAAGAGAAGAAATCAGATGATATTATGAGACACTTACCCTAAGGGTCCGAAATCAAAACATGCAAACAATAAAACATACCTTATTCGACGTAATAAGCGCCCCGCTCTAAGAAGCGCCCACGGCGATATTTGCAAATATATTGGCGAGTGAATCAATCAGCACCCCTTCCGATTGATCAATGTCCACAAGACTTATTTATTCGTGTATAATACCCGCTCGTATGTGATATGTACCCTTAATTAGGGGCAATTAAATTCTGGAAAAATATATCTGTCGTATGTAAACATTTCAGCATAAATCAAGAAATTTACGATCTTTCAACTCTTTCAAATTTTTTTCACCAAAATAATATTCTAATATAAGCCCCCTATTTCTAATTTTGAGAACGCCCTGGGCGCTTATTACGTTGAATATGGTACATTAAATAGCAGTTATAATGTGGACACAAATTTCAACACTGTTGTTATTGAGGATATGTCAAAATCTGGAACCATACAATGGGTGATCTTTTTCAATTTTCCCTTCGCTAACCCACTATAGGTGCTCTGACCAAGCCGGTCCAACCTTAAGCTGACAGCGCCTTTAGTATGCACGATATGAGCGGTACGCGTTACTATCACACCTACAGACAGTTAACCAGTATAGCTTTCAACTCTATTGGCAACGTTCACGCTAGTGTATGGACAGTACAGAATATCTCTTTGCCTAAACAATGTTCTGTCTGTTATGTAACCGGTAGGGCTGGGACGAGTCCGAATTAACTACACGGGTACCCACCCACCTATTACCCGACCCTACCCGGGTACCCACTGTTAGTCTCAAGAGATAGGTACAAAATGTCCGATTGGGAATAGTTTGACTGTAGCCCTGGACAAAATGTATTTAGATACACGTATAAATCGATCTGCTCATGCATACACTGACGTTGACTGAAGTTTTATCTTTATTCAAACCTATAAAAGTCTGGGTGCATAGTCAGAAACAAAAATGCGAACATTAGTGACTTGTAGTGTAACCATATAGTTCAAGATCATTTTTGTCATTAGACAATATATCACATGACCAACCACGGGTCCGGGTAGTCCTGTGGGTACGTGGGTCCTTCTCAATACCCACCCGACCCGAGTACCTGAGTTACCCGTCCCAGCCCTAGTAATCAGGTCCTTTACCTTGAGTTTCACTTCCAGGAGACACCACGGCAGGAACAAGACAACTCGATTTCCAAGTTGAGATAATATTATTTAAACGGTTGACTATAGTAATAAGATACCACACAAACGTGCTGGCAGTAATCTATATTACTTTAGGAGCGCAGTGACCTCTCACCTGTTTACTAGTGTCCCGCTAACCGCTCACCCCAAATGACGATTTTCCATCTCGTTTTATCCCTCAAACTTCTCCACTTCAGTTTAATGATAAATTAATATGACGTCACGAGGTTGATTAGCACGTGAGCCCGTTCTAGTTCTCACACTTTAAAACTATTTATTAGTCTGAAGATTGAGTTGTAGCTAAGCTTCTCGGTGACTTAAGCTGGGTCTTGACCCGCACTTCTTGACTAATTTTATCTATTAACTCCTGGATTTATCTTATAACCTGCATCTATGTATGCCGAACCGGTCTCTCCCGTGTCCCTCTCATACATTTTAATCCAAACTGATAGTCTCTCTTTATTCACTTTGGCTGTTCTGTGACAACCTTAACTCTTTACACTCTTTACACCTCCCCTAGATTTTGGTCGTCACATGCGCTCCCGTATGAAATACTTCGAGTACATTAACATCACATAGTTGGTACACATTAACACCTCCACATATATTCAAGTTATATTCAATTTAACATTTTCCAATATACACATATACTTCATGGACAATAATTCAATTTTAATTAATCCTAATTTATATATATATATATATATATATATATAATCAGGAAATAGAAAACCACTTGATAGCTGTATGAAGCAAGGCGGTGGGATCAGTTGATTGTTCACTCCAATCGGTACTAAAAGTGTTGCCCTTGATGTTCCAGTGTCACACTTTTAAAAATGAAGTATATTTCCATTGAATACTTACCTATATCTATGTCGTATTAACGCCCATTTGGCAATAGGCATGCATTTTAAGGCAGCAGATAAGCGATGCTGCATGCAAAATGTGAAGGTTCGTCAGTAGATATTGTGAATTGTGACAGCAATACAAGTATTGAGCAGGCACATGACAGAGAGGTGAATATTTTTTCAAGAAATTGCAAAAGAAACAGGCACTGACAAATTACCTTATCAACTACATACCATAATACATGTACACTTTTTAAAATAATCAAAGTGGAAATCACTGGAATCCAATTTGATATTTATCAGGATTAATTGGTGCATGATGTATAAAACGATTGTAAGGATGAATAATGGTGGCTGTCTGTTGCCAGTTACTACCATGACTACATTTCAATTATGATATATAAGACAAGTTGAACTTCACTGAAAATGAGTAGGTTGGTCTTACAATACATATGACTGCAAAGAAACGGTATTTATAATGAAGAAAAGCACCAACACAAGCTCGACAAAGTCAGTTTGCAAATATCGAATTACAAAATCGTAGATCGATATGGATAACATTATTCATGACATATCAATGAACCCACCCCCAGGTGGCCCACTCGATAGTTGGGACTATCGGTCCGAAGTTACATCAGTCACCCCTGAAGTTCATTTGCCTAACAATAACAAGAGTTTGCCACTAACGTGGCTATATCCCACGCCCCTGTTGCAGAATTTATGACATAATTAAATCTAAACAAACCCCTTACCTTTTTTAACCGAGGTGGAACTTGTCATGGCAATTGTAAAAAAAAGAAGATAAGTTTGGAACCTAAGTCCATCTTGTTGCCATGGAAACGTAAAAAATAAATATTTCTTAATAGGCACCAGTTCAGCATGTACCTGACAGACCTGCAAAGTTTGGTGAAGAAATATTGAACAGTTTAGGAGTTATGCTATGGAAACGAACCCTTCCCTCACAGAACCTAAGTCCATCTTGTTGCCATGGAAACGTAAAAAATAAATATATCTCAGATTTCTCAATAGCTAAAGGTACCAGTTCATCAGCATGTACCTGACAGACCTGCAAAGTTTGGTGAAGAAATATTGAACGGTTTAGGAGTTATGCTCCGGAAACGAACCATACCCTCACAGAACCTAAGACCATCTTGTTGCCATGGAAACGTAAAAAATAAACATTTCTAAAATTTCTCAATAGTATAGTGTGAACTTGTGTCGGTACTATTCCGGCGATAATAGTACCATTGGCACTAGTTGACACCATTGCGAGTCAGCTACATTAGCAAAGATAAGCGAAAGGCCATAAAAGACATACTTACTTTGCTTGCTTTGAACTTGACTGCTTCCCTCATCGGGTCCCGGCTAGCTGATTGGCTGGGAGGTTTTCCGGGTCCTGCAGCTTCCCTGACATGTGCTGCGGCTCTCAGGTAGCTTCGGCTGTATTGGCGGACATGGCCGACCACCACATCCCCCCCCCCCCTATTTACAGGAACCTGACGTCTTCTGGGATCTGCGGTGGGGTAGGACCCTATATTCTGCCCTGGTAGACATCCGGGATTTTCATAGGTTATGACTTTTCCTCTTCCATAGAGATATTCACCTTTGAGTTCCAAAGCTCTTCAGGACTAGTGGACACTTCTTAGATCTCGAATTTCAGTCTTAATTTTCCGACATGGATTACTTTTCGGAAATCTTGGACGCTTTCCCAGTTTCTATTCTCAATTGGGGTCCTCCAACCAAGATCCCTTTCCCTCTGCCCTGGACAGAACTCTAGGCCTGTAAGTCCTTTTTTCTAGTGGCCCGGTAAAAATACCAGGCCCCTGGATCTTGCACCGGTTGCCCAACAAATATGCCGGTCTAAGGGGTCTGCTCATCCCTCCACTCTAGAGGATCCGGTAGATGGCCCAGGCATTGCTAGTAGAGCAGCGAAGGACCCCTTCAAACCTCGGGTGACAACTTGCAGTCTAGGGGACCCGGTGACCACGGCAGGCACGTTTTTTCAGGTCGTTCAAGTTTGCCCCGGGACCGACCAGTAGCGACGCCAGGTGTCGCAAGACTCGGACTCTATCCTGGGCCTCTTCCCTGGTCAGCTTCCCACTCCCCATCAAATACAGGGGCAAGTGGGCTATCTGAACGTGCTGTTTAAGTTTCCGGGATCTTACGCCACATTCCGGCACCAGGCACGCCGAGTTCCTGTCCCTGGTCGCCCCACGGGAACACTGGGCAACAACAGAGAGGCTCGGCCGGTGTTGATGTTCGGCCGGGGAGTTCCTGGGGGGTGGTGGTACTTGGATCTCCTGTCCCTGGGTTCGTTGAGGGCTGTGAGAGCGGCGAGAGGCAGAGGACCGCCGCCTGACAAGTGACCGCCGCCTGACAAGGGACCGCCGCCTTGAGGGCAACCATCCCCAAGTCACTTGGCGATCCCCGCCTTCCGCTCCTGCTGGGATCCAGACCTGCAGTGACTTCCTTTTTTCCCCCCTTGACGGCCATCGTCCCACGAGTCGGTGGAGGAACTCGCCCGACCCCTCTTCTGGGCGTTCCTCCCCACCTTTTCCACATCTGTCATAGTTACTCCCCTTCCCCTGGGTATCATCCGCGGTGGCTTGGAGAAGTCCACCAAGGGTTCCGCCTGGGCGCTTGATTCCTGGGGGTCCAGAATGAAATTTGGTCCTCTGCAGCGCTTCGGGACTGGAGCGCCATGCAGGAGGATGTCTGTGATTGTCACCGGCTCCTTGGCCGGGTAGTAGGGCATCAAACCCTCATCTTCACTACTACTTCTCGACATTCTTCGCAGTCTAATTCCGCGTTGAAAAACT